TGCTTGTAATTGAGTGTCCAATACAACTTGACTGTGGATAATGTCGTTTCTCACTAGGATAGCTGATCCTCCAGAGGGTCGTTGTATGTTTGGTCCACATATACTAATCATATTAAAACCTTTAAAAGTTAAGGCATCATTTGGAGATAAGTGGGTTTCCTGAATACAATAGGCAAGTGGGTTAAAAACAGAATTTAAATGCTGTAATTCTGCAAAGTTGGTTTTTAGTCCCCGACAATTCCACTGTATTATGTGATTGTTTATTCTCAAGTGGGAAATATAGGTACAGGTCCTTTATTTTTACATTTAGGTGAGAGACTACGACTACGACTGGTCGTTGTCTCCGTCATTTCAATATCTTTAGGATTGTCATCTTTGTGAGTTCGACATTTATCTTGATTTGGTTGTTGATTTGTTGTACTTGGAGTTTTCTTTTTCACTTTTGATTCTTTCTGTTCTAGGTATGAGTCTTGAATTGGTCCAGTTTGAATGAGTTCATTTTTTGTTTTTTGGGAAGTTGAGTTTTTGGTGTTGCTTATGGTTTGAGGTTTGTCCTTGAATAGCCAAGTTAGATCCGTCTGACAACTTATTGATTGAGTTTTTGGTGTGACTGCAACAGAATAGGGTTTTTTCAGACAGAAGGCAGGAAGAGCTTCAACTATTTTACGAGCTTCAGGATAACTCATCTTCCTTGTGTGTTTTATTTTTTGTATTTCTTTCTCTTTATGCCAAATGGGACAATTCTTTGATGAGGCTGCATGATCTCCAAGGCAGTTTTTACATTTAGGAGGTTTTGTGCAGTTCATTCCATGATCATCCTCACCACAGTTTTGACATGTTGTCTTATTTTTGCATCCTGCAGATCCATGACCAAATTTCTGGCATTTAAAACATCTCAGTGGATTTGGTATGAATATATCTACAGCAACACTTAAATATCCAAGTTTGATTTTCTCTGGTGGTTGTGGTCTGTTGAAGGTCAGGATGTATGTTCCCGTTTTAATCATCTGCCCATCCTTTTTGATGATTATTCTTTTTACGTCGATTACACCTATTGGTTTTAATTCTAAAGCGATTTCAGATTCGTCCATATCTTGTAATTCTCTGGTGCGGATTACACCTTTGCTGTTGTTCAGGGTAGAATGAGGGAATGCTTTCATAGTAATTCCAGCCAAAGTTGTTGCTTGTAGTAAATTTTCTGAGTTAGCTTTCCTAGCACATTCCACCAAAATTTGTCCAGATCGCAGCTTTTTAATGTCTTTTACTGTTCCTGCAATTCCTGTGATTCCTTTGTGGATCGCAAAAGGGGACAGTTTGGTCAGGGGCATGTCATCAGTCAGTGATTTCAGTACAATAAATCTTTGCCAGTTTTCATTTTCAGATGGGAAATTAAAACCAGTTCTTAGTTCAGTCTCCAAGTCTTGTTCCAATATCCGTTTTTTAGTGTTTTGATTTTTTGCCATAATGTTTAGATATTTGTTCTTCATCTCTGCTCCTCACCCACCTCGGAGTCCTACAAGGGGATGTACAGAGCCACGGACATCCACTGGATGTACATCAAGGATACAGTGATGATATACTTGAGCATATAAACACAGGGTCTATAATACTCAATTGACCCTATGCCAGCGCCTTCCGGGAGAAAGGCAAGTCCTGACAAGCCGATTGATTGGAATGGGCCTTTCCAATCTCTCGTCTAGTTGAAGTATGAGCCAAAGTGATGTGTTGGATAATTGATAGCCGCAGCAAATCAAAATCCTCAATCACCAGGATCTCTTCCTCCACCAACACGAGTCGCAACTCACGGCCAACAAGTTGCCCCATTTGTCGCCTCTTACGAACAGCAAGGGGGTGCTAGGGACCTATTCTACCCCGGGTCCCCACGGGGACAATACAAAAATAATCTCACATAAGTAATTATATAAATAACAATTAGAACATCAAATAACAATACTTATAATTATAAAACATGAATACAAATTGCAGTAACCGCACCATATGAATGGAAACATTTAGAGCAGTTGTTCCCTAACTGACCGCAAGAGGGCGCCAATAGATCACTAAACATGGCTGAGGCACATTTTCCAATGAAATAATAATCAACATGTATATGTAGTAAATAACTCGACGAAACGATTACATTTGTACATGTAAAGTGTTAACATTACATGCAATAGGTATACTGCATATAAAAACAAGCTTAATTATCAACTATTATCAGTTACAACTCCAAAATCGGCCATTAGACGCTATTGCGTTATGGCGCTATGGCGCATTTCACCCGCGATCTAAAATAACGAGACATTTACATAAACCAAACCAAATACACTTACTTTCTGTGCACGCACAACTATATACATCATTGGTTGTCTTAATCTGCATGCAAACGTGAGCAGAGAAGAAGATAACTTTAACTTTGCAGCGATTTCAGTTCGGGCTCTTTGTCTGCTCTGCACACCTGCTTCTCTTCCTTCTCTAAGTCCCGCCCATTAAAGTGACGATGCACTTGCGTATGAGTCAGCAAGAGAATGTTCCAGAAGCCTTTTGAACAATAAATATTATAAGAACTAAAAATATGCGACCATTAGTTCGTAAAATACACATTTCACATTAATGAATGCATTGTACACGAGTTATTCACAGAAAATACATGCACTTCAACATATTTATAGATTCTGTTATAATAAAAACAATCATCTTACCTTAAATAGTGACTGCATGGCTAACGTTAGCATGATGTGACGCGGCTAAATGCACAACTCCGGCGGAAGTGAACCACAAACTTGTTAAACTTTAAAGATATCTTTAAAACCTAAAATAAACATTAAATATATTCAGAAATAAATTGTAAATCGACAGACTTTATTTCTGTGGTTTTCTTTTGGCGTTGTTAGATTTAGCAACGATCCCGGAGAGTCCTGCTAATCTATTACCATGGAAACGAGCGCCCGTTCGCCTCACAGATGTACACCTTTACTGTTTCATCATCATTGCAGACTGGTAGAATAGATTTTAGAGGGGTAAAGCCTTTCAGCAGGACCATATAAATATAATTGATGTAATATGTCATGTTTAATCTACGGAATATAAAAAACAGCCTGCAGCAAGTGGATAAAACTAGCCTAATACCGCGGGGAAACCGTGGACTTGGCAACCCTGAAATTCCCGCGTAAACTGTGCGCCACCCGCTGTTTCCTGAAGGGAGTTTGCAGCCATTTTATACAAGGTTATAAATAAGAAAAACTAAGTAAACCAGCTTTATTTTTTTTATACATCAGTTTTTTTCTAAGAAAAAAATTACTGTACATTTTTACCATGATTGTACTATAACATGAAAAGGTATATTTAGAACTATATATGTTGATGACACATTAAAAGACTATTTCAATATCAGCTTGGCCCCAAAACAATGTCAATTGAAATGTATACTTTTAAAATGATAACAAATTATAAATAAATAATGTATTACTATATATACTCTAAAGCTGGTTTAACCTATTTGTCAGCAAGATTTCATCATTTAAAATAGACTTAAATGGAGTATGACCACTATTCTTGTGTGTTTCAGTGAGTGCAAGTGAGAATATAAGTGTTTTTTTTATTTTGCACATATTTTTACATTTATGAATAGAGCTTTTTACTTGTTATGGGTTTGGGTCAAAAATTTTTATTTGTAAAAAAACATTGTTTCCTTTATAAAATAAATAAATAAAATGAGGCAATTGTATATGTATACATGTATATAAGCACACAAACTCACTGCCCACTTTATTAGATACACATGTCCAACTGCTTATTAACGTAAATTTCATAACTCAATGCATTTAGGCATGTAGACATGATCGAGAGTCAAGAAGATCTGCTGCAGTTCAAACTGAGCATCAGAATGGGGAAGAAATGGGATTTAAGTGACTTTGAACATTGCATGGTTGCTGGTGCCAGAGTATTTCAGAAATTGCTGATCTACTGGGATTTTCACGCACAACCATCTCTAGGGTTTACAGAGAATGACCTGACAAAGAGAAAATATCCAGTGAGCGGCAGTTCTGTGGGCGCCAATGCCTTGTTGATGCCAGAGGTCAGAGGAGAATGGCCAGACTGGTTCCAGCTGAAAGAAAGGCAACAGTAGAAAAACTTTAGCAGAAGAGCATCTCTGAACAAACAACACAACACGTCCAACCTTGAGGCAGATGGGCTACAGCAGCAGAAGACCACACCGGGTGCCGCTCCTGTCAGCTAAGAACAGGAAACTGAGGCTACAATTCACACAGCCTCAGCAAAACTGGACAATAGAAGATTGGAGAAACGTTGCCTGCTCTGATGAGTCTCCATTTCTGCTGACACATTCAGATGGTCATGTCAGAATTTGGCATCAACATGAAAGCATGGATCCATCCTGCCTTGTTTCAGCGGTTCAGGCTGGTGGTGCAACAGTGTGAAGGATATTTCCTTGGCACATTTTGGGTCCATTAGTACCAACGCCACAGCCTACCTGAGTATTGTTGCTGGCCATGTCCATCCCTTTATGACAGCAGTGTCTCCATCTTCTGACGGCTACTTCCAGCAGGATAATGCACCATGTCAAAAAGTGTGAATCATCTTAGACTGGTTTCTTGAACATGACAATGAGTTCACTGTACTCAAATGGCCTCCACAGTCACCAGATCTCAATCCAATAGAGCACCTTAGGGATGTGGTGGAACGGGAGATTCACATCATGGATATTGTACCATTCCCAACCTGGTACTAGTAAGGTGTACCTAATAAAGTGGCCGTTAAGTGTATACATGTAAATATATAGTACTTTGCTTTCCATGAATATTTAGTTTACAAAATCAAAAAGATTAACACCCGAAATATACATTTTAATCACTTGTGACATTAAAAACATTTTTTTTTGTCACCTTTGATCACTTTAATGCACCCATACTAAATTAAAAGTGACCTTAAACCTTCTGAAATGACCATTATTACAGAATATAAAACACAAAGCCGACATCTGTGAGTTAAATATCATACAGTTGCTTTATTTATAGCTCAAGTTGTCTAGTTTTGATATATTACAGTTTATCAATCCCATGCATCCAGCTCGAATTCACAGTCAGACTAAAAAAAAAAAGAAAAAAAGAAAAGAGAAAAGAAAGAAAAAGCGAAACAAACACACTCTTTCACATTAGTAGGCATTCAGGTGTAAAACAGAGAAAAGTCGCCCTCTTGTGGACCGGATGAACATTTACTACATCTGTTCTGTGGTAAACATCTGCTTCAGGTGTCCAAACTCAGTCCTAGAGGGCCGGTGTCCTGAAGATTTTAGCTTCAACTTGCCTCAACACACCTGCAAGGATGTTTCTAGAAAGCCTAGTAAGAGCTTGATTAGCTAGCCAAGGTGTGTCTGATTGGGGTTGGAACTAAACTTTGCAGGACACCGGCCCTCCAGGTCTGAGATTGGACACCCCTGCTCTAAACAAACAAACACAAACAAACACACACACACACACACACACACACACACACACACACACACACACACACACACACACACACAGATATAATGAAGTGCAGCCGTTCCTGGATGAAGATTTTCCGTGTCTGTCATTGCGTGTGATGGAGTTTGAGTGGCAGGTGGGCGGGGCTGCGGGCGGGCGGAGACTGACAGCTTCACTGGCCAATCAGCTTCTCCACAAAAGTATCCAACTGGTCTTCATCTTTGATGCCCACAAACTGGTCGATGACATCACCGCCCCGCATGGCAATCACCGTGGGGACCGCTGACACCTGCGGCACAACATCCAATAATAAACGCAGGAAGCTGTCGCACGTGCAGCTCGTATAATTAATGAATAATTTAAATATTTAAATTGAGTGTGTACAAAGTACTCAGAGTTACACAACTGCACCAACAGATGGCAGTATAGGACTGGAAATAACTCACGGGGTGTGGTCTATAACCACTTCATCTAGTTAGCGTTCAGTTAGTCACACTGTTGTAAATCACGCGTGCTCGAGACGGAGTGAAGATTGTTCTTGGTGTTTGCTATAATTTGTGCTTATTGTGTGCGTTATTGACAAGTAATCTTTAAAGCTTAATGTTAGACTTATTATCAATATTTAGCTTGGAAAGACTCTCCTTACATTATATTACTATGAGGATGACTAAGCAGTTTTCTGCCTCAAAGGCATTCACTGTGAGCTCACTTAAGCTTACCAATACAAATGTTCAAGTTAACTCCAATATGTTGTTTGCATGCACTTTTCAACTGCAACGAACAGTACTTGATTTGTGAGTTATTTGTTAATTATTGTGACTATACAACACATTAATGATGCCATTATAAGCAATGTATGTTTATTATAACAGCGTCATCATGTTGATTTCTGTTGTGTTACACAATTTATATCATTTAAATGTCACATATATGTTTGAAATGTACATGATTAGTTTCAGTAATTCTCAATGTGTGGTAATTTGTATTTTCTTCATTTATAGGAAACCACACATACACACAAACACACCTATCAGCACACCAATTATAAATGCTTGAAAGTTCTACATCCATCAACCAGATTAAAGTTTGTTTTTTGAGAACTGGACTGTTGCACCTCTTTTTAAGGGAAGCGCATGGCTGGAAAGCAGGAGCTAGTGTAACGCAAACAGTAATAATCGCAAATTGAGTGTATTATTTATATTTTTTAAAGATGTCCATAATGTTAATTATTTTTATTTCAGGTTTAGATTAGGTGTAGCAAGTCAATAATCAGATTTTTTAAATTGAATTTAATTTAGTTTTATTTATATAATTTTAATTTGTAACTATTTAAAGCATTTATAGATTATTTATTTATATTAAAGTATTATTGATACTAAAGCTGTTTTTAATTTCATGTTCATTTTTAGTCATTTGTTTTTGTCATTATTTTTTTAAATTCTCTTTAAGATTTATTTACTTCTCTTAAAGTTTCAGAAGAGCTTTATTTTTTTGTTTATTTGCCATTAATCTAGTGATGCAGGGAAATCTTATCTTATATGTATTTTAAATGTCCAAAATATGTTCAGATACATTATGTTTTGAGCATGCGGATAGCGTACCCCATACTCGATGGCGAGGTCTGTGTGTTCATCGATGTCCACTTTGGCCATGGTGACTCGACCCTTCTGTTTGGCGATGGCCTTTTCCAGCCGCGGGCCGAGGATTTTACAGGGACCACACCATCTACAACAAACACAACACACACCTTTATGTCAGATTCAGATTCATCAAATATTTACAGATACAGGTAAAGTCAGAGTTATTCGCCCCCCACAGATTTTTTTTCTTTTTTTAATATTTCCCAAATGATGTTAAACAGATTCAGGAAATTTTCACAGTATGTCTGATAATATTTTTTCCTCTGGAGAAAGTCTTATTTGTTTCATTTTAGCTAGAATAAAAGCAGTTTTTAATTTTTTAAACACCATTTTAAGGTCAATATTATCAGCCCCATTAAGCTTTATTTGTTTTCGATAGTCTACAGAACAAACCATCGTTATACAATAACTTGTCTAATTACCCTAACCTGCCTAGTTACCCTAATTAAGCCTAGTTAAGCCTTTAAATGTCACTTTAAGCTGTATAAAAGTGTCTTGAAGAATATCTAAACTAATATTATTTACTGTCATCATGGCAAAGATAAAATAAATCAGTTATTACAGATGAGTTATTAAAACTATTATGATTAGAAATGTGCTGAAAAAACTCTTCACTTTGTTAAACAGAAATTGGGGGAAAAAATAAACGGGGGAAATAATTCGACCTCAACTGTATATACAGTATTGTGAAAACGCCTCGGTCTAGTAGTATTTTCACCTGATAAAATGGTTTTATGTAAATAGAAATATTTTCCTGTTTTTAAAAATACTTAGAAAGTCTAATAATTCTGAAATAAATCTTTTCAGTTTAATCTGACTTGATTATTACAATTAATAGCAAAAATAATGTTGGGAAATGTAAGCTGATATTTCCTATTGATACAACACAGCAAAGGACAAAACAAAACATTTTTAGCTGGTAAAAGACTAATTTAAAGAACTAATAAACATATACAATACAAATCATTTCTAATGTCATAACTATTATAAAGATATAATAATATATAATCATAGTATTTAATTGTATTATTATACAGTTAAAGTCAGAATTATTAGAGACTCTGTTTATATTTTTTCCCAATTTCTGTTTAACGGAGGGCAGATTTCTTCAACACATTTCTAAACATAATAGTTTTATTAACTCATCTCTAATACCCGATTTATTTTATCTTTGTCATAATGACAGTAAATAATATTAGACTAGATATTCTTCAAGACACTTCTATACAGCTTAAAGTGACATTTAAAGGCTTCACTAGGTTAATTAGGGTAACTAGGCAGGTTAGAGTAATTAGGCAAGTTATTGTATAATGATGGTTTGTTCTGTAGACTATCAATACAAAATAAATAGCTTTAAGGGGCTAATAATATTGACCTTAAAATGGTGTTTAAAAAAAACTAAAAACTGCTTTTATTCTAGCTGAAATAAAACAAATAAGACTTTCTCCAGAAGAAAAAATATTATCAGACATACTGTGAACATTTCCTTGCTCTGTTAAACATCATTTGGGAAATATTTAACAAAGAAAAAATAAATGAAAGGGGGGGTAATAATTCCGACTTCAACTGTATATCACCATCATACTATTAATTGCAAATAATTTCATCCAGATTGCAAGTTCGTACAGTACATAAAAAAGTTTATATTTCATATATTTATTATATAATTTGTATATAAATACACTTCTATTTGAAAAAAAAAATATTATTATTATTAATAATATTTAAATATGAATATTTGTAAATAATTTATAACATATAACAATAATAATTTATCATTTATAAAATATAAAAATGTAAATATATCTAAGTATTTGTATTTACATATAAATAAGCATAGAAACATATATGCGCACACACATTATGTAAACACAAACTTTTAGTTTGGATGCAATTAATCATTTGACAGCGCTAATAATATTCATTTCAAAATATCAATCAATATTCATCAGGCCAAAATATTTTGTTACCATAGCAACTATAGAATTACCACAACAGATTAATTACTATAGTTGTTGTGTTACCATAGCAACTATGGAATAACCCTGACAGATTATTTGGTTTAGTTGTTGGTGTGGTACCATAGCAACTGTAGATTCACCACAACAGATTACTATAGTCGTTGTGTTACCATAGAAACTATGGAATCAGTACAACAGATTAATTACTATAGTTTTTGTGTTACCATAGCAACTATAAAATCCCCACAACAGATTACTAGACGTTGTGTTACTATGGCAACAATAGAATCACCACAATATATTAACTACTGTGTTTGTTACCATAGCAACTATAAAATCACCACAACAGATTACTATAGCCGTTGTGTTACCATAGCAACTATGGAATCAGTACAACAGCTTAATTACTATAGTTGTTGTATTACCATAGCAACCATAGAATTACAAAAAACAACAGATTAAATACTATAGTTTTGTTGCCATAACGATACAAATGAACTTAATACAAATGAATACAGTATTTTTTCATGTGAGTATATACAGTTTAAGTCAAAATTATTAGCCCGTCAGAATTACCCCCCCCCCCCCCCCCATTTCCCCCCACTTATTCTCTTAGTGAAAAATATAGCTTAAAGGGGCTAATTATTTTGACCTTAAAATGTTTTTTTTTATTTTATTAAAAACTGCTTTTATTCTAGCCGAAATAAAATATCTCCAGAAGAAAAAATATAATCAGACACACTGTAAAAATTTCCTAAATCTGTTAAACATCATTTGGGAAATATAAAAAAAAAAAAAAAAAAAATCAAAGGGGGGCGAATAACTCTGACTTCAACTGTATTTATTGTTGTGTTGTTGTTTTGATGAAATGATCGTCTACGTACTGAGCGTGGAAGTCGATGAGCACGGGCAGCTCGCTGTTGATCACCCTCTCTGTAAAGTCGTCGTGATCCTGCACGTTAAACGACACACTTCTGCTGGTGATGTACGGGAGTCGCGGGATCGAGCGTGAGAGGAGAGGCGGTGCGGCACGAAAACAGGAGGAGAACGAGGACCTGCTGGAGCTGCTGCTGGGGAGAACGAGGACGCGCACATCCTTCACGGAGATGCGAGAAACTCTCCGCGCGAGCAGCCGGAACGCCATCTGAGAAACACACAGAGAGAGAGAGAAAGAGAGTTAAATCATCAGAAAACACAACATCTATTAATTCAGTCAGTAAATAAGAACAACGCTGACAAGGTGGCTTAGTGGTTAGCACTGTCACCAGGGCCGGAGCAAGCTGAACTGCCGCTGTAGGCAGAGGACGATCACGCCGCCCTCAACCCCAATGTGAAAACGAAAGTGACCGGTTATGAAAATAAAGTGAGGTGTTGCGGACCTCTATTCTGCTGCCCTATGCACGGATATAACTGAGGACGCGCGGGTGCTGAGGGAGGGAGGGAGGTGTCGCGGACACCGCGCTCTCTATTCTGCCGCCCTATGCGCGGATATAACTGAGGAAGCGCGGGTGCTGAGGGAGGGAGGGAGGGAGGGAAGTGTCGCTGACGCCGCCCTCTCTATTCTGTCGTCTATGCTCGAATATATCTGAGGACGCTGGTGGTGAGGGAGGTGTCGCGGACATAACTGAGGATGTGGATGGTAAGGGAGGTATCTCGGCCGCCTAGGTCACCTCAATGGACGCGCCGGTCCTGACTGTCACCTTACAGCAATAAAGGTCACTGGTTTAAGTCTCAGCCAGTTGGCATTACCGTGTGGAGCTTGCATGTTCCCCCACAGTCCAAGCACATGCCCTGTAATTGAATTGGCTAAACTAAATTGGCCATAGTGGATTAGTGGTGTGTATGGATATTTCCCAGTACTGGGTTGCAGCTGGAAGGGTATCCGCTGTGTAAAACATTCTAGAAAGGTATGCAGTTCATTCTGCTGTGGCAACCCCTGATGAATAAAGGGACTAAGCTGAAGGAAAATGGTAATTAGGAACAAACAAGTTCACTGATGCTGATCATATTTTAAAACATTCAAAGTCATATTTGTCTAAAGTACTTATTGGCATGCTGAAAATTTAACCCCTTCCACAGCGCCCCGACGAGGTCGCACTGAGGCGCTGTTTTTCCATATGTCCATGTTTATGAATAGATTACACCAAAAAGGTCATGAGTAATCTTGAAAAACTCTACATCAGTTTAAAGCTACATCCCCTAAGCACCCATTGCAGCTAGTTGTTTTTCAGTGTAAAGCTTTTAAAGAATGTATTTGCTAAATTTGTGTAAGTTTTGCAGAAAAAGCTTATTAGATATGGCGTACATATCATGTAATACCAACACACACACACGCATTCATTGCTGTGCATCACGGTTTATTTTGAAAGGTAAGAGTCCACAGAAAAACATCCCATCAAGCACATTTAGTCCACCAACACAATAGTGTTGAATTATGGATGGTTATTCATTTGTTTATGTCACCATTTCTGCCGGAGACCGATTGTTTACACTGTTTTACCATGGTACTCAAACGTGAAAACGCCATTTTTGCAGTAAAAGGCAAGTTTATGTCATAGCTTACAGTGTTACAGATAAAACGAGACCCCAAACTGAATAAAAAGCCAAAGTTATAGTTACTAAAATCTAAACAAAGCCGAGTGTTTTGGCCGTCTGCATTTCTCAGTCACTGCTCCGTCAGAACCTACTTCCTTCTTCCCAGAAGGTTGACTGACAGAGAAACGAACCAATGACTGCATGAATTTTGATCTTATTGGTCGACTGCAATATTATGGCAGTGTTAGTGGCTCAGAGAGCTGTCAATCATCACTCGATCGCACCTGCCCTCTGCAGCACAGCTGCTACAGTTCAGGCTAACGGCGCGCGCGGCTACAATATACAACATACAATGTAGAAATCCTCTGAATTAAACTGCGCAACCCAAAAGAAACAATGCTCATCAAAAAGATAAGAGTTGCTCTCTATAGAACAAACATGACTGATTTTATTAGATTTAACATTTTTGCATTTATGAGGGAAAAGTGTCGTTATGGACGTGACATCTCTCCGTTATGCATGTGAGCGATGTGAAATTGCCACATGTGTGACTTTGGCAAATCAAATATAATAGTTTAAAAACATTGACTGAGACATTTTTTTATATTTGTAAAGCACTGTAAAATACAAGCCTACACAAAAAACACTTGCTACTTTGTCGAAAACTTCATCTTTTTCATGGCAAGGTTGACATTTGCATAGACTTGCTCTAATATCATCTACTGAACGCAAGTTAACACAAAGATTTGAAAGCATACATAAAACGAAGGCAACAAAATCAAACTGTCACGGTTTATTCTTTATTTAGCCTTTCTTCATTATTATTATTATTATTCTCTTCGTGATTGTGTTGTGGTGAAGATTGTTTTATTAATTGCAATTTCTTTTCTTTGATGCTGGCTCCGCCTTGCACCTGCCGCTAATTCAACTTGTCGCCTTTATAAGCGGAAGCTGAGTGTGTGTCGGGGTGGCTCTTGATTTCCAGCGCGTCTGACCGATCCTCGCGATCTTGTCTCTCTTTGGAGGGTATGACCCGTACTTGCTGAGAATCTCTCCGTATCTTGCCCTGATGAAGAAGGTCCGAACTTCTGTGCGCGTCTTGTGCAGCCGCTGCTGAGGAGCCATGCTGGTGTTGTGCCGTTTCTTTGATCTATGATTTTCTTGTTTTTTATCAATATTTTCTTTATAATATATGTTTTGTTTGTTAGTCAAAGCAATTGCTTTGACTTGGTTATTGTTTGATTAATGATTTATATTTCTGTTGCTACCTTAATTAAATAGGATACGTATTTTCTGGTCTCTAAATAAATAGAGAATTGTAATTCTGGTTTCTGTGTCCTTTTATGTTGCTAACCCCTTCCCTAGACGAGCCTTAAAAAACTGGGGTTCGTAACACAAACAAACACAGTAAAAATAGACAATAAATGATACGATTCACATCAACGCACGATGAATGTGTTACTTAGAGATATTAAGTACAATAAACTACTTTTATACACAGCACTAGTTCTTCCATTTCTTTTATATAAACAGACATTGAGGTAAAGTTGGTCTTATATTCGCACATTAGTTCATTTAGAAGTCTCTATATTGTTTACTTTGAATATTCGATGGGAGTTAGCGTGCAAGTATGACTTCTACACAGCATTAACACTATCTATTTCACTGTGAACACTGCTGTTTATTGATAGTCAGTGGCTGCTAATATGATTTCCCTATTTAAAATTTGCCAGGAAGCCTTTTCTGAAATTATGTTATCGAGGAGAAAGTCTAAATAACCGATGTAATGTTCGCTTGCAGAACGTATTTTGGATAAGTGTGTGCGTTCGTTTGTATGTGGGTGTGTCATTTCATGCATGTGTTACAGGTACGAACGGCATTGGAGGATCCGCATTTCGTGCTGATGACGTTGGCCGCTGACGCTGGGTTTGCGCCACCAATCGCTGGTTGGCGTAGCGTTTAAAAGCCGAGCCCAAACTGCAATGGCGATCTCTCTTTCTTTCTGTCTCTTTCCTTCTCGCCACTTCTCGCTCTTACTCTTTCTGTGGGTCTCAGTGAGGACAGTCTCTCTTGCGAGGGCTAGTCTGAGAGAATGTGTTTTGCTTGTTTAATGCTCTTGTCTAAAGTTTGCGATTTAATAATGCTTGTGAAATTGTCCAGTTAACTGACATGTTTGAGTGATGCCTCGGAGAGGTGTAGGAGTGAGTAAGTCGTCGCGCGATATACATATACAACACTCAGATTGATATTCTGTATTAGTTCACTAGGTTCAGGAGAATGTGCTGTTTTCTGTATGTTTTGTTTTTAGTTAGAGCAGTTTAGTTAAGACGTTTGGTACGTTGAAGATGTTTCTTTTCATGCTTTTCATATTTAGTGTAGTTTGGTGAAAACAGTTACTGAGTTTTGTTATATTTATTTCTTTGATTTAAGCACATTCAACTACTTCCTCTCCCCCCAGGTAATTCATTATTTAATCATTGTAAATATTTTTCTTTCACTGTATAATATATTTTCACTGGTTTCATTGGATGTATGGGCAATAAATAATTGCAGTGATTATTTGGTTTTCAGTTTATTTCTTTCTCCATCCGCTTGTCACACACATTAAACTAATGTATGTTATGTCATCTACTCCTAATTTAATATTAGCATCTAAAAGGACGTAACAACCGAATATAACACCAACTTTACCTCTATATAGACATATAGGTGAAGTTGGTTTTATATTCGGATATTCAGACTTTCTCCTTAATAATATAATTTCAGAAAAGTCTTCTTGGCAAATTATAAATAGGCAGGGTTCAACGCTAAGGATTTTTCCTACAGGCCCGATTGGACCAGTGGCTCAGATTTTTACTAGTCCTGCCAAAATTTTCACTGGCCCACCAAAAAAAAAGTTAATTGCAATTTCTCAGCCACATATATTAAATAATGTGTCACAAAATATTATCTTTGAATTTAAATATTTGAAAAATGTTAAAATATTTAGCAGTACAATATAGAGTGTGGAAAATGTGCAGGTATTTTATTGCAAAACAAAAGGTGGCTGACTCAAAAGAGGCGGCAAACTAAGCAAAACATAACTTAATTTTGTTCATAGTGTTGTACCCATGCCAATGTTTTCACAACATTAGAAGCACACGCTTTCTTTTATGCCTAGTTCAGACTGCATGATTTAAGCCCCGATTTTGGCTCGCCGACAGGTTTTGAGAAATCGCCGACAAATGCCTGAAATCACAGGCAAATCGCTGCTCGTGCACGTGAGTGTCAATCACACAGTATGAACTATCAAAGACGCGATCTGAGAGAATCGCCGATGAGTCGTCAATGCCTGTGAGATATTTGGCATGCTAAATATCTGGAGCTGTCGGCGATTCAAATCATGCCGTGTGAATTGAGTTTTGACTGAAAATAACATCAGCGATCGCTTACAGCCAATGAGAGAGCAGCTTTCACTTGTGTGTGTGTGTGTGTGTGTGTGTACCTGCTGCAGGCCAGCGGGAGGCTGGGGGAGAAGTTAAAAGCGCTCTTTTTAGGTTTATTTGGACTCACGAAATGGAGGAAAAACTAGTGGAGTTTTGACAGGACTCAGGAGCAACCGTGTCTGTTTGACGTTTCATACAGAAAGAAATTCGTTTATTAGCAACGTTGAGGAGAAATGGCTAATACCCTTTAAACCCAGGTGAGCAAATATGAACATGTTCTACCCCATTAAAGGCTTCTTTCTCATTATGTAGTTAATAACAAAAGATATACTACGTGTTTTTGGCTGTGAGACGTAGTTTGGACGAAGTTGTCGGCGATTCTTCCTATAGTAAAGTCATGCAATGTGAAAGTCCCTGTAGCCGATCCATCTTGCAGTGTAAACAAAGCAGCGACGAAACGCTAGCCCAGATAGTCATGCAGTGTGAAAACATCTGTGACACGACTACTTTGAGAATCATGCAGCCTGAACTCGGCATTAGCCTCATAATTTGATGTTGCGGTTATGTTGCCGTCTATTAAAATTTAGTGACAAGGCAGCACTGTCCTGATCGGGTCACTAACGATTCTGTCCACGGTCCCGAGCATCTCTCACGCTGGCCCCGGGCAGTGCCTATTGTTGAGCCCTAATACAGGGGTTCCCAAACTTTACAGTCCGCGACCCCCAAAATGACAATGCGAGTGACTCGTGACCCCCAATATCCTCTAAGGTGGTGGTTATAAATACAGAAACCTTGTATGCAATGACGTGCACAAACACACCAATAGACCCAAATCTATTCTTTGTTTTTTTTTATGTATGTCAGTGCTGTAAATGGGCTAGAAAGTTTAACCTGGTGTTACAAAATCTGCTGCATCTGACAATATTGCTGTGTCTTTAGTACAATGTAATTACCCGAGAAGTCGCAATCCAATAGAACTAGTAACTATAAGCTACTATAGTAACTATATAGTCTATATAGTAACTATAAACAACTATTTTTTTTCTCTTCAGTAGGTTATTGATAAAATACAGTAAGTCTTAAGCTTTAATAAAAATTAATTGATTTTTGAAAATCACCAGGCGACCCCCCTTCATTGTCCCTCGACCCCTCGGGGGGTTCCGACCCCCACTTTGAGAACCTCTGCCCTAATAGGCAAATCATTTTAGCAGCCAATGAGTACAGCAGTGTTCACAGTGAATTAGATAGTGTTAATGCTGTTTAGAGTCACACTTGCATGCTAATTCTAATCTAATATTCAAAGTAACATTGTAGACATTATAAAGACTGATAAATAAAAAATCAGCGAATATATAAAACCAACTGTACCTCTATTAGACAGACAGACAGAGATAGACAGACAGATAGAGATGTGTTGAGTGTTTGTTATACCTGTTATATATGATGGCTAATCAATACCTATTCATGATTCTTCATTGATCAGTACATTAGCGGATCAACAACAGCATTTCACACGAATATAAGACAGGAGAGCAGCTGATGTTCACTCTTATTGAGTGTGTTGACACACTCAGAGTCTCTATAACCTGTTCACTCGTCTCATATGTGTGTGTTCATCATCTTTTATCTGTGGTTGTGTAAATCCGTGTGGTTTTTAACCTCCACGTGACTTTGAGCTTCTGCTGTTTCACGTGTGTGTTCTGTAAATCCGGCGCGCGCATAAACGCGTGAGCTGCAATGGATTAACGCGGATTATTTGTGTTTTCGTGTTGTTTTGTGTGTTTGCAACAGTTACGACACATTAAATAAACTCTTACCGTGAGCTCGAGAGTCCTCTGGTCTCACGGACCGGTGACGCACTTCCGCTCACGTGGACGAGCAGCTGCTACGACGCAGCGACATGCCGCGGCGCGGAGAGTCTGCGTGAAACGTTGATATTGAACTGTACAATGATAAATTAATAAAAATAAATAAATAAATAAATAAATAAATAAATAAATAAATAAATAAATAAATAAATAAATCAATAACATCTGACTCTAGATAAAATCTTGAAAAACGGTGATGTTTTAAATGCAATAATAATAATAATATAATAATAATAATAATAATAATAATAATAATAATAATATGAAAATAGAAACGGGTATTAAAATTAAATCTGTAACAAATCACAATAAAATAAAAAACAAAAAATACAAAACACAATAGACTCAAAACTTTGACTATAGTGAAGAGTGATTTTAGTTTAAAATTAAAAATAAATGAATTAAAAGAGATAATAATCTACTGCATAACTGTAATATTAAAAATAATAAATAAATAAATAAAATCTGACTGTAGATAAAATCTTGAAAAACGGTGATGTTTTAAATGCAATAATAATAATAATAATAATAATAATAATAATAATAATAATAATAATAATAATAATAATAATAATAAAATAGAAACGGGTATTAAATTAAATCTGTAACAAATCACAATAAAATAAAAGACAAAAAAATACAAAATACAATAGACTCAAAACTTTGACTCTAGTGAAGAGTGATTTTAGTTTAAAATTATAAATAAATTAATTAAAAGAGATATTAATCTACTGCATAAATGTAATATTGGAAATAATAAAATAAATAAATAAATAAATAAATAAATAAAAATAAATAGATAAAGCTTCTGGTGAACTCACTGCAATTATTGGAATAAAGAAAATAAATAACTAAAAACTAATGAAATAAAATAGATTTAATCTAGTGATCACCGACTTTAATTTAATAATTAAAAAAGCAGATTTATTTAAAGTAAAAACATCCAGTGTACTGACAGCAGTGCTGTAAAGAGAATATTTAAATAAAATGACAAAGTAATTTTATTTACCTACTCATTTTATTTACCTACTGCGCCACTGCGTCGCCTCACAGCAAGAAGGTCGCTGGTTCGAGCCTCGGCTGGGTCCCTGCATTCGCGTGGGTTTTCTCCGGGTGCTGCGGCTAAACCCACAGTCCAAAGACATGTGGTACAGGTGAATTGGGTAGGCTAAAATGTCTGAAGTGTGTAAATGTGAATGAGTGTGTTTGGATGTTTCCCAGAGATGGGTTGCAGCTGTAAGGGCATCCGCTGCGTAAAACATATGCTGGATAAGTTGGCGGTTCATTCCACTGTGACGACCCCAGACTAATAAAGGGACTATAAGCCACAAAGAAAATGAATGAATGAATGACAAAGTAAAAATTCCAGACCAAAAATTTTACCAAAAAATAATCAAATTAAATAAATTAAATTAAATCAATAAATGTTAGTAGTGTTTAAAACATATATTGACAAAAAAAAAATAAAATTAAATGACTCCAACCAAAAATGTTTCAGGAACAAAAATGTAAGGCTCAAAAATAAATAAATAAAAAAACAGATGAAAACAATGAACATTCAGTGTATCGATAAAAAATCATTAAAAAAATCAAATAAAAAATAATAAAATATAAAATAATAATACAAATAAAATAATAAAAAATAAAATAAAATAAAAATAAATAAAAAGAAAATAATAATAAAAAGAAAATCACAAAATAAAATAAAACTAAATTTTATAAATAAATAAAATAATACTAATAAAATGAAAATACTAATAAAATAAAATAAAAAACAGAAAATAAAAAAATAATAAAAAATTATTTAATTAAACAATAAAATAAAATAATAAAATAAAAATATATAATAATAATAATAATAATAAAATAATATAAAATAAAATAAAATAATTAACTAATGAAATAAAACTAATAAAATAAAAATAATAAAATTAAATAATAATAAAAAATAAAATAATAATAAAAATAAAATAATAAAATAAAACAATAAATTAAAATATAATAATAAAAAAAATAAATAAATGATATAAAATAAAAAATAAATTAATAAAATAATACTAAATAAAAAACTATAAAATAAAATAAAAATAAAATAATAACAAAAATAAAATAATAAAATGAAATAATAAAATAAAAATATAATAATCCTAATACTACTACTACTACTACTAATAAAAATAATATAAAAAACAATAATAATAAAATAAATATTAAAATAAAATAGTAAAATTAAATAATATAAAATAATAATAAAATAAAATAAATCAATGACAGTACTGTTTTAAGTACAAAATAGAAAATAAATAAATAAAACATTTAACTGAAACAAAGCGTTTCAGAAACATGAATATAATGCCAAAAAATTAAAAATAAAAATAAAATAAATCTGCAGAGCCTGGGTTTTTTATTGTCTGTTTTGGATCATAGATTAAAAATCTTGGGTTCCACACAATCAATTTGTATTTGACAACATGAAGGAATTAACTTATTAGTTTTTACAAATTTAAGTGGATTAAACATAAAACAATCAAGTTGTCCCAAAAAAAAATCAAGATTTGTGCTGTTCCAGCTTATTTTGAATACTACATTTAAACAATCATGTTTTAAGTGTACACTGTAAAAAGCAATTAGTTGAAAAAATGAGCAAATTTACTGCTCTCAAAATACTAAGAAAATGAGCTATGCACATAAATTAAAAAATTAAGTTAAAGAAACCTAACACTTCTAAGTTACAACAGCAAGACCAACGTTTTTAAAGTAAAATCAACGTGTCATGAGTTATAAATGAAGCAACAATAAAGCTTTGAGTGTGCCGGTCAGGAATGATGGTGGTTTTGAGTTGACAGTGATGGTCAAAGCTTCTGTCCTACCATCAGTTTAATAATTGATGAACAGACAGATAAATGAAAGAGGAGAGCAGCCTGTGATGATGAAGGGCAACACATAAAAGACAGATACAGACATATAGACAGATGGAGAGGTGACTGCTCTAGGGGGCATTTGTAGCTCCGCCCTCTTCTAAAAAGAGCGCAATCACATTTGCATTTAAAGCGACAGTCACCAAAACGCCACAATTGGGATCAAAGCCTAAAAGGGTCAGTTTCAGTTAATAATAATAATAATAATAATAATAATAATAATAATAATAATAATGATGATAATAAAAACGAATATTAAAATAGAATAAAATAATAATACAAAAATACTAATAAAATAAAAAGCCCCACCCATCAGTGACATCATCTCTTCCTGATTAGCATAGGACATTAGTCTTGCTTTTGAATCTGCCACTATGCTGACACACAGGCATTTGTAGCTCCGCCCTCTTCTAAAAAGAGAGCAATCTCATTTGCATTTAATGCGACATTCAACCAAAACGCCCCAATTGGGATTAAATCCTAAAAGGGTCAGTTTCAGTTAATAATAATAATAATAATAATAATAATAATAATAATAATAATAATAATAATAAAATAATAATAATATAAACTAATATTAAAATAGAATAAAAAATAATAATACAAAAAATTATAATAATAAAAATAAAAAATAAAAAGCCCCACCCATTAGTGACATCATCTCTTCCTAATTAGCATAGGACATTAGTCTTGCTATTGAATCTGCCACTATGCTGACATACAGGCATTTGTAGCTCCGCCCTCTTCTAAAATGAGCACAATCACATTTGCATTTAAAGCGACAGTCACCAAAACGCCACAATTGGGATCAAAGCCTAGAAGGGTCAGTTTCAGTTAATAATAAAAACAAAATAAAATAATAATAATAATAATATAAGAATAATAAAATAAACCAATATTAAAATAGAATAAAAAATAATAATACAAAAAAATAATAATAAAAAAAAAATAAATAAAAAGCCCCACCCATTAGTGACATCATCTCCTTCTCATTAGCATAGAACATATGTCTAGCTATTGAATCTGCCACTATGCTGACATACATGCATTTGTAGCTCCGCCCTCTTCTAAAAAGAGCACAATCTCATTTGCATTTAAAGCGACACTCACGAAAACGCCACAATTAGGATCAAAGCCTAAAAGGGTCAGTTTCAGTTAATATTAATAATAATAATATTAATAATATAAAAATAACAAAATAAACCACACACACGCACGCACGCACGCACGCACGCACGCACGCACGCACGCACGCACGCACACACACACACACACACACACACACACACACACACTCTAGAGACATCAGAGACTTATTTTACATCTGGTAAAAAGAGGCATGATAGGTCCCCTTCAAGATTATTATTTTTTTGATTGGCTGAAGAACAAACCCTTGTTGTCCAATGACTTGCCTAATTACCCTAATTAAGCCTTTAAAAGTCACTTTAAGGTGAATACTAGTAAAATATGTTAGGAAAACTTACTCACAAACAATAAATGATGTACAAAAATGGATAAAATAACTCAGAATATAAGATGAGTGTGATCTAAAGCCCCCACTGAGACTGAAAGGTGCTGATTGGTCCTGCTGGACTCCATGGCAACAGATGCTGATGTGTGTGTGATCAGAGAGCTGGAGCATCAGTCAGACTGTGAGAGTCTCCATAGGCTGATCGGTGTGTAAATCTGACCTCTCCATCAGGTAGGCCGCTCTCTCCTTCACTTTCACTCTTTCAGTTTGTCTCCTGTATTTCTGTTTCTCTGCTTACTGAATTATTTAACTAGTGAGCCAGAGTGTGTGTGTGTGTGTGTGTGTGTGTGTTCATGCTAATGAAGTCACACCCCCTTGATTTCCAGTATTGTTTTCTAGAAAACAGTGAAACAGCAGCAAGGCTTTAATATGTTGTGTGTTTATGTTTAAAGAGCCCCTATTATGGGTTTTTGAGAATGACCTTCCATGTAGTGTGTAACACAGCTCTAAGTGAAGTCAAATATCCAGCTTAAATCTAGCTTAAATCTGAAAGTGCACCGTGTTTAAAACTGTTGATTCAGTTATAAGAGAG